ATGGAGTCTCACTCTGTCGCCCAGGCTGGAGTGCAGTGGTGCAATCTCAGCTCACTGCAGCCTCTGCCTACCGAGTTCAAGCAATTCTCCCACTTTAGCTTCCCAAGTAGCTGGGATTACCGGCATCCACCACCAAGCCTGGCTCATTTTTGTATTTTCAGTAGAGATGAGGTTTCACCATCTTGGCCAGGCTGATCTTGAAATCCTGACCTCATGTTCCATCCGCCTTGGCCTGCAAAGTGCTGGGATTACAGACATGAGCCACTGCGCCCTGCCCTGATGAATTTTTTAAAGGAATGTAACACACTCTAAAATTCATTTGGAAGAATACAGGTCTGTAAGATAAAATAGCATTTCACAAAGATGTTGTATTTACTATATTGTGTTATTGGCGTTAAACAGATGTACAGATACAGCATAAGAGCTCAGAAGTGAATCCCCATTTTTTGGAATTTGATTATTTAATACATGAGTTTGGGAAACTGACTCATATGGAGAGACGTGAAGATGAATCTCTGCCTTACATACACAGACATACAAAAAGATGGCCTCTAGATGGGTTAAAATCTTAAATGTGAAAGGTAAAATCATAAAGCTATTAGAAAAAAACAAAGTAGAATATGTCTGGGGTAGGAGCAAGGTCTTAAGACTCTCCAAACACAAACTATAAAAAAAAAATACTGATGAGCTTGAAAATATTCCTGTTCAGTGAAGGACCTATAAAGTTAGTAGATGACAGTTTGGGAGAAATACTCACAATGCATAAATCTGACAAAGGGCTAATGTCAAGAATTAAGTAATGTCTCTTCAAATCAAAGAGGATTAAAAAACAGAAAAGCAAATTTAAAAAATGGACAAAAGGTAAGAAAAGGGAATTCAAATAAGTCAAAACGGGGCCAGGCACAGTGGCTTACACCTGTAATCCCAGCACTTTGGGAGGCTAAGGTGGGTAGATCACTTGAGGTCAGGGGTTCGAAACCACCTGGCCAACAAGATGAAACCCCATCTCCACTAAAAATGCAAAAATTAGCCGGGCATGGTGACACGCACCTGTAATCTCAACTACTCAGGGGGTTGAGGCAGGAGAATCTCTTGAACCTGGGAGGCAAACATTGCAGTGAGCCAAGATGGTGCCACTGTACTGCAGGCTGGGTGACAGAGCAAGACTCTGTCTCAAAAAAAAAAAAAAAAAAAGTCAAAATGGTTAACAAAATTATAAGACGCTCAAATTTCCCACTCATCAGATAAAGTCAAACTAAAACAAGTAGTTATCATTCAACTATACATCAAAATGGCAAAAAACAACAACAACAACAAAAAACCGTGTCATAGACAAAATTGTGTCCTCTCCTTCCCCAATGCAACTGTCTTTGGAGATAGGATCTTTAAGGAGCTAATTAAGGTTAAACGACGTCATTAGGGTGTGGCCCTAACCTGGTGAGATTGGTGTCCTTATAAGAAGAAACAGAATCTCTTTCTCTGCATGGGTGGAGAAAAGGCTGTATGGAGACATTGAGAAGGTGTCCTTCTGCAAGCCAGCCAGAGTCCTCACCAGAAACCAACCCTATTTGCATCTTGATCTTGGACTTTCAGCCTCCAGAACGGCAAGAAAATGAATGTGTGTTGTTTAATTTCCAGTCTGTGGTATCTTGTGAGGGCAGCCCTAGCTGACTGATACAGCTGAGAACTCCGCAGTGCTGGGGAACATGGGGAGACAGGTATGCTCATTTCTTACTGGAGTATGTGTAGACCACACAGCCATTCTAGAGAGGATTCTGGCAGTTTTGGTTAAATTGAGTTTACCTCTACCTTAGGACCCAGCCACTCTCTTCCTGGGTATGTCCGAGAGAAATTCTCCCATAGGCGTGACAGGGACATGTGCAAGGAAGTTTATCTCAGTGTAGTTTATAATTATGGAGAGTTAGAGGCAACCTGCATGTCCATCCATAGGAGAAGAGCCAAATTTACTGATGTGGATGAATCTTATGGCTCTTTCTGCACCAGCTGAAGCAACATAGATGTCAACAGCATAGTGTTGAGTGAAACCATTAAAACAAAACAGAATGGGATATATATGGCAATATAATTTATGTAAATTAAAATGCTGTACACACGAGGACACAGTTATATTTAAATACACCCATTAGGCCGGGCGCGGTGGCTCAAGCCTGTAATCCCAGCACTTTGGGAGGCCAAGGCGGGTGGATCACGAGGTCAAGAGATCGAGACCATCCTGGTCAACATGGTGAAATCCCGTCTCTACTAAAAATACAAAAAATTAGCTGGGCATGGTGGTGCGTGCCTGTAATCCCAGCTACTCAGGAGGCTGAGGCAGGAGAATTGCCTGAACCCAG